TAAATTATATTGTTTACCCTAACAATTACACCTTAATTTCAGCTACTTATCAAGTTTCTAGCGTAGGTTAAATGAAGCAAGTATTTGCTAACAGAAAGCAAATGGTTAGGCAAGGATTTCACTCAGTTGCAAAGTTTCTTTCCTCAGTAAAAATAGTGAACAGAATCCACATAAGTACTGGAAGATGGAGGGGGAAAAAAAAAAAAAAAAAGACAGACAGACAATTACAGTCAGGTAGTAAGCTGAAACTGAAGTTCTCTTGACACAAAGCAAACTCTCTAAAATTACTGCATAACATCTGTAGCAGCTCCTCTCACTCTTTCGCCCTGAGGAGCTGGCCGAAACTAACCTCAACTGTTTTCACCCCTGACATTTAAAAGCCAGCCTTTGTTCCAACTATGAATGTTTTGTATATTACAAGAACAGTAAACAGTATAACATTTTACCCTCCTCCTTAGGCTTTAACATTTTTATAAAAGAGGTGAGGCAAACAAGATTGGCATATATATATATCTCTCTCAACAGTACATCTGTGATGTACTGTTACAGCTCCAAAAACGTTAATGATTGAGACAAAATGGTGCGATTATTTTTGGCTGGCTTCATACATCAGAATTATACAATGGCATGAAAACTCACTGATGTTTGGGAAATGTTTCTGCAGCTGAAATACCATCCAAGTTCTGATACCTAAAACATAATGTAGTCGGGTGACATGTATGCAATTTGAGATCCCAATTTGATAAATACATGTAACTTGAATCCTTCCAAGAAATAATGTGACTGTATTGTATACTATAATGTGGGCTCTGGGGCTTTGTATGCTATGATGATGCATGTAAGGTTCAAGAAACACACACAAATAAGCTTACCAAGGGTACCGAAAGTCATAATCATTTCTTCACAGAATTTCTGTGGCAAGACCACTGTGTTTCTACGGCCTAGCTGGACAGGTACACGGGTGTTATCTACTCTTGTACAGAATACACGTCAACTCAGACAAACTTTTTGTGACGCTGTGGACCTCAGGCATAATTTTATTTATAGTTTTAAATGAGCTTGCAGCTGGTATACGAGATCTACTAGACTGGCGTCACTCCCGTGGGATATGATAAACTCTCCTTAACCTAGAGTCAAAAAGATTAAAGAGTAAACCCTGATACTGTTAGTGACCAAAAACGTTCCAACCTGGAATCTGAAGCAATACGAAGAGATGAACCAAAAAGAGCACCTTGAAGGTTGATAGCCCATCTTGTGGCTCTAATGAGAAAATGATGACAAATGGTTTTACCACTAAGAATGCAAATAGATAGACCTCTTGACACAAAGGGGGTCAAAACAAGCCTTTTGTTTTTGGAGTAGGAATGAAATGTCTAATCCCTGCTTACTAAGGTTACATTTTCTGCTCTTCTGTCATCTAAGAGAACATTCAGAAGTTGCTTTAATAGTACCTTGTCGTGAAGGCATGGATGGAAAAGGTAATACAAGAGTACGAATTCACTGAAATATTCTGTAATCTATAATTCTGAAATCTGTAATATTCACTGCTCACACTTTTCTTGCTCTCATTAGACCTGGGGATTCCAATTCAGGTTTTCTGAAAGAAAGTCTGTCACTAGAAGTTGTGTAGGAGTCATTTGGTCTAGTAACCTATGCTTCTTCCTTTGCACCTCACATGTTGTGTAGTGCAAGAAACAGTCATCTGCTTCTTCCTTCAGACTGGAATGCATAAGCTCACTGAAAACACAGAGGACCTCCAAATTCTTAATGAGCAAAGTTTCATTAGCCTTTGAACTGAAGGGGTAGTAATCTTTAAATTAAGGATTTTTTATGCCTTGAACTCCAACCCTTATAGTTATCTACACCAATCACAGTCTTAAGGGCATGGATGTGCCCAAACATCCAAAAACATGCATGGGCACATTGCATACAAGGTGTCATGATACACAGAGATTTTGGCTATCAGCTGCCTCTCACCATATAGATTTTATTTCTTTCCACCACGCTGTGGGAGTCTTTTTATAAATGGACAACTTGTTTTATAAAAGTTAGCCTTACCTTGACAGAAGCACAAGTAAGTATCAACAAACATTTACACAATGACAAAGTAGATCTTGCCAAACAAATCCTTGTTTACCGTCCTTTTTCATGCTTTTTTTTTTTTTCAGGTTTTGAAATGCCCTGAAGCCATCCTCTGGACCACCTTATGATCTAGCAAGCTTTCTCAGACAACTAAATAACTCTAGAATTAATTATTCCTCCACCTCTGCCTGCTGATCCTTCTCTTCCTTGTGAAAAAAAGAACTAACAGGCAACAATCAGAACAGTAGGAGATAATGCGTCTGAATGCATATTCTGAGCTGGTCAGGACTGATGACCATATAATAACAACACCATAGGTAGACAGATAAAGAAAGCACTGAAGAATGTTACCTTTCAGTCCTCCACCACTTCCCACTGAAATGGTGTTGTCAGGACTCTCCTAGACTCTTGATGTGAAACTCCTGAACAGAAATGGATAGGGGGTGCATGAAAGGCTGTGTGCCAGGAAGATACACAGCAGTAATACTATAAATTTGAAATTGCCATTAAGGTCTTGTATATAGATATAAAACAGATGATACCAATGCCTCAACTGTTGCATTTGACATCATGTTTTCAGTAACTGAATGCCTTATCAGCACTGCCAATGTCGTATGAACTTGCAACGGAAACCTGGATCCTGGACCCATTGTACCAGATATACTATGAAGCCAGAAGCAATGATGCTGATCTAAAATATGAAAACATGCATACCAAAACCAAATCAGTCAATGGGCTTAAGCGGTACTGCAGACTCTCATTAAGATTTCTATCAAAGCACAGAAATATCCATCTTAGACCAGTAGGTACTTTCTTCAAATGCAGCTTAAGTAATTTTCCTTAATATACAAGGGAAAGCTAGGTTTTATTTCTGGAACATGAGGAATATAATTTCTTATAGGGAAGAGAACCTACATGAAGACCTCAGACAGACAGAACCATTACCATTTATTGCTTCCTATAACAAAAGGTACATGCAGTTACACAGAGGAGTAGTGCAGCATAGTAGTTATTTCATATCTGATTCACATCTTTCTATCTGGACAACTAAAATTTCAATCTGTAAAAATCCTCCACAAATAATTTTGAAACTTAAAAAAAAAAAGTTATAGAAAAGACTATCTGGAAAAAAAATAAAGCACTGGCTTTTTTTCCAACTTAATTTCTAATCACAGCTCTAAAGGTAATATTTTTGAACAAAAATAGTGGAATACTCCTATAGAACCAGAAAATTATTGCAGCAAGTTGAAAGAATGCCTAGGATCGCATATCTTACAGGAAAAAAATAAAAGCCTAGACTTTGCCTCCTGTTGGTCAAATGCCGTCTTTTTGGGTAATGTGATTCCATATTTTAGCATACAGCCAGCTACCTACGACTTCATATTTAAGGCTGCACACCAACACAGCATTAAAATTGAGCATAAATTCCGGTTTTAATTTAACACTGAGAGCCCTCTGAATATCCATGCCTTCTTCTAGTTTATCTTTTAATGACTTTTTAATAGGAAACTTACAAAGGAATGAAAATACAATTTCCCATCAACGCTGCTACTTCTCATTGTTAACGACTTATTGCAAAACACTGTGTATTAGAAAAGTGGAGAACATGCCTATAACTTGTGTATTGGCAATTTATTCTACTGAAAAGAAAGGCTCTGCAGAAGGCTTTATATCCAGCTGCTGAGGAAAAAAAATCTCAAATAAATGTCAATTCAATTAAATATTTCTCCTCCTTCCCTGATTTCACAAATATACAGCTTCTTTGAGAAGTAACAAGGCAAAACGTGAGTTGCTCACAACATATCTCCATTATTCTTCAAACTGCGAGCATCTAGAGTATCAGAAGGACTACTGCTAGGTAACAGAAGATGTACTGTTACTGTCATTACTCAAAGTAATATCAGACACCATCTACCTTGCTTAGGTTACTTTTGTGCATACAACCATCTCTCTCCCAATCACTTCACCAATCATAGTTATGAGTATTAGGAAGAATACTTGAATGTAAGACTACACTAACTACATGATCAGAAAAACAGTCTGCAAGGAAGCATAAAACTTAAGTCAAATCTTTCTGACACCTCGCTACAAAATGGCTTTCAACTCAACGCTGTTCCATTCCAAGTCAAACATGCTTTCTATTTTTACCACTACAATGCATGGTAACAAAATACTCCCCAAAATAACAATACACATTTCAAAAATAGCAGCAGCCCCTTCCCCTTTTCTGTTCTAAGAGGCAGTGAGTGATTTTTATCAGTCACAAGGTTTATGCAACATGGCACTGGAATGCCTCACTACTTTCATGTTCATCCAGTTGGTTATTAACTGATTCTTAGCCCGTATCACGTGGAAAAATGCTGTGACAAATGAGATTATTAACCCTTTTATATGGCCACAGCACAGTAAAACTCAGCAAAACAACCATCTCTTCTAGAAATGTCATCTCCAATTATTAGAAAGTGAAAAATGACTGGGTATGAGCTGTTCATTCAAACTAGAACAAGAATTTCAATAAAGCCTATTTTTTATCTCCACCTACTGGCAGGTTTTCATGATATGTCTTCCCTGGCACAGCCTGACTTCAAAGAAAAACATCAGCAAGGTAAAACAGTGGAATAAACTGAAAACCCAAACCAAAATAGCAGCAAAAAATTCACACCAATAACTAAGAAAGTAACCAGGACAAAATACAAAGCATAGGTGCTGAAAAGGAGAAGAAAAGATAAGACAACTCAGAAAGAGACAGACAATTCAGAATTACATTTTACGTCTCTAATGAATCTACATGACACAAAGAAATGCTTATACTAGATTAGATTATTTATATAGAAGAATCATGCTATGTTGTATTTATGCGTACCTCACCTGTTATCAACATGATTTTACTTTTTTTTTTTTTAATTACAGAAATTTACCAGATTCCATGGTCATCTGAAGTAATCCATCAAGAGCACTGGAAAGCAGACCTCTACTGGATACTTTTAAGTGACTTAGTATGACAGGCACACATTGGTATTCCAAAAATAAGGCCTTCCCTTCATCTGTCTTCAAGTCTATGCGAAGGGAATCAAATGCTTGAGCCAGGTAATCCACTGAAAGATATCACAATACAGGCAATAAAACTTTTATAATCATAGTTCCATTAAGCAATATGTGAAGAGCTGTCCCGAGAGTTACCATTGCAGATATATACTTAAAAGTTAAATGGCTGAAAATATTAAATTTTATTTTTATTTAAAGACATCCTCTGCATTCTTTTATTCCTTAACAAATTGTTGAGTGAAGAAAAAGCACTGCAACTCACATGTTGAAGAAAAATACACTTACGAATATAAAGCCCTTGTAATATTTTGCTTAAGAGTAAAGAAATTATAAGCTTGCATAGTTTCAGACAATGTTGGTTTCAACATCTGGGAAACCTCTGTTAAAGGACTCAAGGGTTGATTTGTCTGAATAAGAGAAATTACGTTCATGAGAGCAACTACTCCCCTTCCTTTCTATACAAAGCTGTACTTAAATTTCAGTGCATATTTATATACTCATCCATTGTGGAGTGCACTAAATCATACAAAGATTGTAGACTAAGTGAAAGAACCTAGTTTTCTTAATTTCATGATGTCACATCTTTCTCAGTATCTTGGAATAGCCTTGATCATCTGGAGTGCAGAAAATTTAAGTGTAAGGAAACAATTTATCCCATAGCAAAAGTTTAACGACAGTGCCCTCTGCTGGATACTGACAGTTTGAATGAAATGGGATATATGTCCACACCAAATGTGATACCTTATCATTACATCATTAGTGCCATGTGATCAGAGTGATCAAAATTCATAGTGAATTTTGTGAATTCATAGTGACATTAGTGACATTTAGTGAATTCATAGTGACATTTGAGATGTGTTTAACAACAGATCATATTTTCCATGCTATAGAAGTAAAAACAACCATGAGAAGCTAAACCGATTCATTATCAACAGCGTTCATCTGCTTAGAGTAAGTACGCCTCTGCAATAACTAATTTTTTTATTGCAATTCTTTTTGCATTGTTTTTATCAACATTGCTAGAAACGGGAGTCTCAATTAAAGAGTAATTATCATGCTTCACCAAAATATTGACTGAAACAGTTCCCTCCAATGGCTGAAATACTGTATATGTTCATTAATGTCAGGGTGGTCTTCCACCATGCTTAAATCCTGTGTTTACTGTAAATACAATATAAGTACTGCACAGGTCAGTTAAGCATAAAGACATACTAATCTGCTTAACCATCTAATCCAGAACCATGACTTGCATGAACAAGAACATTGCTCATTACCTATGGATTTAAAATCTTTGGCATCCCTGATTAGTCAACCAGGGTGCCAGAGACTGCAGGAATTTTGTCATTTGGATCTCTGCTTTCTAAGGAATGCCCCAAAATTCGCAATATATTTCATGAAAGAGACAGAAAAGAATTAGATGCCAAAGTAGGCATTTGATTCTGACACTCTGGCATGTTTTTTCAGGATTATCTTGAAAATTAACACCTCTGTAACCTGTCTCCATCTCTTTGTGTTACAGGCAGAGGGGATGTGTTACTGGTAAAGACATTTTAAAATGCAAACCATTCTGAGAATAAAAGTGAACAAAAGTACAATCATGGAATAATTTAGATTGGAACCTCCTGCCCAAAGCAGGACCATCTCTGAAGTTAGATCAGATTGCTCATAGTCGTAATCCCACTGAACAATTATTTGTTATCAAAATGATCTGTGTTTTTAAAATGTCTTTGAAAAGGGAAAAATAAGTGGTTAATATCACAGTTGGAAAAGTGTTATAGATACATTCATTCTTATGCTATCCTTGTAGAACTTATTCTTGCAGAAAATCTCAGTTATGCGGCACCAAAGTAACTCCTAAATTGCTGCAAGTAGGCAGTAATCACTTCTTACACTTGCTCTTAATGGTATGTAATTAGTGTTTTCTGCCTGACTTCCATAAAAAGGATCTGCAACACCTCTTGTTCCCTATTTCCCTTGAAGAGAGAAAAGCTTCATAACTTAAGGCAGCAGTTAACAAATCAGCTGAGGGAATGGTTACTGTAATCTTTGAGGTATGTTTTCCACATTTTTTTCTCATCCTGTCAAGACACAATCTGATTCTTGTTAAGTCGTAGTATCTACTTTGAAACCTTTGTCTTCTCCCTCTCCCATGAGGCAGGGAAGACCCAACTTCCCCTATTTCTTTGCCAACACAAAGTCATGTAAGTTTTAAGTAGAGAATTCTACTTTACACTACTATACATCATCTACTAATGTGAAAGGTGGGAGGATCCTGGGAACAAACTGGAAACAGAAAAAAACCTCACAGTGAAAGGAAAGATTTACTTACCCTCTGATGTCCCCTTTCACACTCCCCCGATTCTTTTTGGTTAAAAAAAGGCAGAGGCATGAGCTGAAAGTTATGCAGCTGTTTCAGATACAATAATCCCCTAACAGGCATTGAAGGCTGTCTGGACTATGTTGTTTAAGAGGATGTTTGAATTTTTCTTTTTTTAAGCTCAATTTTTTTCAAAGAAATAAATACACAAAAAATCAAGTGTTTATATAGTCAGAAGCTCAACCTGATAATATAGAATCATAGAATGGCTTAGGTTGGAAAGGACCTTGAAGATCATCGAGTTCCAACCCCCCTGCCATAGACAGGGACACCTTCCACCAGCCCAGGTTGCTCAAAGCCTCACCTAACCTGGCCTTGAACACCTCCAGGGATGGGGCATCCACAGCTTCTCTGGGCAACCTCTTCCAGTGCCTCACCACTCAGAGTGAAAAACTTCTTCCTAATGTTTAATCTAAACCTGCCCTCTTCCAGTTTAAAGCCATTCCCCCTCATCCTATCACTACATGCCCTAGTAAAAAGTCCTTCCCCAGCTCTCCTGTAGGCCCCCTTTAGGTACTGGAAGGCCGCAATAAGATCTCCCCGGAGCCTTCTCTTCTCCAGGCTGAACAACCCCAACTCTCTCCCAGGTGGGGTCTCACGAGAGCGGAGTAGAGGGGCAGAATCACCTCCTTTGACCTACTGGCCACACTTCTTTTGATGCATCCCAGGACGTGGTTGGCTGCCTGGGTTGCGATCACACATTGCTGACTCATGCTGAGCTTCTCGTCAGTCAGCACCCCCTGGTCCTTCTCCTCAGGGCTGCTCTCCGGCCATTCCCTGCCGAGCCTGTATTTGTGCTTGGGATTGCCCCGACCCAGATGTAGGACCTTGTACTTGGCCTTGTTGAACTGCATGAGGTTGGCTTGGGCCCACCTCTCCAGCCTGTCCAGGTCCCTCTGGATGGCATCCCTCCCCTCCAGCATGTCTACCTCGCCAAACAGCTTGGTATCATCGGCAAACTTGCTGACGGTGTACTCGACCCCACTGTCCATGTCCGCGACAAAGATGTTGAACAGTACAGGTCCCAGTACCGACCCCTGAGGAACGCCACTTGTCACTGGTCTCCACTTGGACATTGAGCCGTTGACCACAACTGTTTGAGTGTGACCATCCAGCCAGTTCTTTATCCACCGAGTGGTCCATTTGTTGAATCCATGTCTCTCCAATTTAGAGACCAGGATATCGCGTGGGACGGTGTCGAATGCTTTGCACAAAAGCACAAATATGTGACTATCATATTGCATTCAGGATTCAGAGAGGACCTATCAACTCTGCTGCTTTTATGCTGATGGACTTTTTTTGAATAGGTGAACAAAATGGCTTCATAGCAATCATTGAAACCATTACTGAATTAAAGCAATTAAGTTTTAATTAAGAGAGAGGTAATAATAGAAGTAAAAATAAGACATTCTTTTGGATTAGTCATCCAATCTGCAGATTTATGAATTAAGAACCTTCAAGCATAATTCAGATTGAGTATTACTGTAGAAGTTTTCAAAGTCATATATAAATTAGAAACAGAATTTCTTTAAATGACCAAAGTTAATTTTAAAATCAAGTATCTCTATAAATCAGATTGATTGAAGGTTTTTCTTCTCTGGGTTCTGACAGAAAAGCATATGCCAATCTCTATGTCAAAAGGATAAGGAAGGAAAGCAGTAAAAATCTGAGTTTGTGCCTCTTCTCATAGTGTGCTCAACACTCAGAGCTCACAAGAAACAGTCCATTTTTGTCATCACTTTAAAGAAAATGTTTCAGTCTTTTCAGATGGTATCTGTTTTCAAAGAAGGTCCCACCGAGAAGGTTTGCCACAGCATCTTGAAAACTGCACAAGTGGAGTAACCTGTCATAACCTGAAGCAGAAGTCACTATTTTCAGAGCTGTGTTATCTCCTGATATGACCTTGTACATTACTCTACCACGTCAACATAGGATTTTTGGAAGATTTTGGATAAAAAGGCCGCTTTTCATGCTAGACAGGTGGCTTTGAAGTCTAAAACATTTTTACGTAAACAGAACATGGTGCCTTTGTACATGAGTCTATTTATCGGTGAAATCTGAATGGACAAGCATATCAAGCACTGACAACTTCATAGAGTAGCATTTTTCAGTGTTAATATTATGGGTAGTCATTTGCAGTGCCAGATTTGGAAGGGGAGAAGAGGGCAGCAGACAGGTAAGAGCTGAAGTATGAACTGTATACTAAAATTAGACCAAATGACAAAGCAATTTCAGGACATATATTGTATCACCATTCAATCGAACAATTATAATCCACTACACAGCTGGTTTTCTCTGTGTGATCACAGATACATCAGAAATACCCAGGAACATCAGATTTATCTATAAAGATAAATGCAGCAAAGTTGTAAATATGTCACAAAACAAACACTTGACACTGCAGCTGATCAGCCTTTTGGAGGATAGGTAAACAACCTACGAGCTTATAGAGGACACTGAAATTCTAGAACTGTTCAAAATCTGTTACTTATTTCAGTTTATAAAAGAGTAACTAGCTGTGCCATTCCACGCAGTAAAGATCTTGGCAATCCAATCACTGCTGTAGTAATCAGTTTGACAGAATTACCAACATCTCTTTTCCCCTTCAGAAATGTTTATTTCTCTGACGAGAAGTCATCATACTAAAAGGAACACATAAATTTCAACATGAAATGAGTAATAGCAAGATTCATACTTGTTTCCAGGATATTTTTCTTCACAAGGTAGTAAAATTCAAATAAACCTCTTTTCATGAATAAAGCATAATTGCCGCTACAGTGTCACTGAAATGTTTTTTGTCCAGGCACATAACTCAAATAAATAAACACAATTTTTTAAAAATCAGAACTTACCTTGTGTCACTGTTTTAAGCACAATTAAAGTTGACAGAAACCTCAAAGGCATACAGGAACTCTTAAAGAAAGCTGCTGATTTTGATTTACTCTCTGTAGACTGTTCAGAAGAACTATGTGGGTTTCCCTTACTTATTACACCTTTGAAAATGTCTTCACCAAGTCTCCTCATTGTTGATGTCATTGTTGCATGCTGTTTCAAACAACGCACACACGCAGTGTAAAGATTAAAACACATTAAACCCCTGCATACTATGTAGAAATACAAATGTCCCCCTAGCAATTAAATATTAAATAGCAAATGATTTGACTATGTATTGGATCCTTATCTGTACTGGATACTCTGTGTTCCAAAAGCAGTTGAACAACATTATCACAGCACCTTATCAACACATGCTTCACAAAGGGAATAGTTAGTGAGGGCCCCTGATATGCTGACATTATTTAAGTTGCCTCTGGTTCCAGAACAAGCTCAGCGTCAGTCAACATTATTTTGTAAGGTTGCCTGAAGTTATATCCTGTAAAAGCATTTACAGAATCAAGGTCTAAACAGGAATCTTAAGAACACTGTACAGGTAAGACCTATTAGACTTTTCATCATGAACTATACAGAAATGTTACTTCAGAATAAAACTTCACAATATGCTCATTTAAAATATGGTTTCTTATCAGCACTAAAACTGACAGATTACTATTCTATTGAATTTAAACTCAAGATACTTAGAAAGTTTCCTTCCTTTTGCTTTAGCGAAAGCACTATTGACAGCACTATGCACTGAGTCTTAACAGTATGGCTACTGTATTTTTCTTTATTATACTGCTATGTATTTTCTTATAGCAGTCTAGTCAGAGGGTTAGACAACTGAGCAGAGAACAGAAAAATCAAAATTCCTTTGCTGCTTTGCCACACACCTCTGTCAATTTCAACAAATCTCATGCAGAAAGTGAACCTAAAAATACTGCCTTTTCTAGGGCAAGTTTTGTAAATACATGTAAAAGTACAATTTCTGAGATGCTTAAACACCACAACAGAGATCAGATACTTATAAAAACCTATGTTTAGATACACAATGCTAAATTTAAAATTAACTTGAAAAATTTTTTTTTTTCATTTGCCATGTATCTGTGGTAAACACTATGAATTTATGTTTTGCAAAGACAGCAGAGTTTCTCTTATATATACTACCTGAAAGCATCCACTTTTCAGATGCATTTAAAACACAAAATCCACTAATATCTTCTGGGAATTTAGGTTTTAAAAAAAGACATACAGCAAGAGGACTACTTGTTTTACCTGAGTACCACTGTCTAGCTGTCTTACAGTCCAGTAAATAAATTTAATCACAGGCATGTGTAGCTTAGGATTCAAAAATGGCATCCACTGGAGTTGCTCAGTAGCTATAGGCAAAATCTGTAAAAATATACAAAAGTAAAATTACATGCAGTATATGCAACTACTGCATAAACTAACCGTAAGTGAAAAAACAAACACAACTCCCAACTTTCTCCAGGCGTTTAACAGATTACATATGCAAATACTGACTGGGCAGAACCAGTACAGGTAACAGAATTATACGCATACACACATTTTAAACTTTACAGAAGTTTACATGCAAAAGTGGAGATCCATCTCCACTCAATCTCAGTAAATTAAATCACAATGGCTATAATTCTTTAATATAATGAAGAAAAACAGTAAGAGAAGATTTTCTGAACACCTCTGGTATCCCCAGAAAGAAAACAATAAAAGCATTAAAGGTATACCATAGTAGAACCTTTTATCAATCATAAATTGAAACTTTAATACCTAATATAGGCATCAAAATCTTATTTTCCTTAAAAATTATCTGTATGCTTTATAAATGACAAATTGGCTATTATATTTCACTGCCAGAATTAATACTGACTTATGAACAGTGATATTGTTTTAATTACTGTATCCAGAGCATGTATCAAACAAGCTGTCCGGTTATATTCTCAAAATCATTCAAAAAAAATCCATAAATCGAAAAACTTATTAACCCAAGCAAACAATCCAAACTCCTTTACCTTCATACACCTTTCCTGGGTGTGGGTTTTTTTGAAGGTCTGGGTAAGTTTATGACTGTCCTCTCTTTCTTCTTGTATTTTTATTTTGCTAAGATGCTGGTCTGAGATCCAATCCATAAGAAAAGTTAAGAGCTCATAAACTTGAGAATTCAATGGTAGCTGTAATACATCCACAACAACAGATACTTCAGCTTTCAAGTTAATTACTTTTCTAAGCCAAAATAGTAACAGACTGAAATACATGACGGTATATTAGTTCTGAAATGTTATGCGTAATTTAAAGGATGATGAGTATATCCCTGATAAAATCTGGGAGGTAAGTTACTGTATTGGGAGGCTGTGGAAAACTATTATATTCAATGAAATACAGATCTTGCACAGGCCATGTCTGCTCTGTTGGGTCTTGTACCCAGGGTTTGCTATTAATATAACCTGTAACTTACAATATCTTTGAGAAAGGTAAACTGTATGTGGATCAAGGGTTGGAATGTGGCGATCCGGACCCAGAGACTGCTGTAGATTGAGGAGTCAGAGATCCACATCACAGTTAACCTGAGCAGGCACTGCCTATGCTGTGCTGCACAGATCCCTTGGCTGCAGGATAAACTCAGCCTGTAACAGGAGCCTGCAGGCAGCTCCCACTTGGTACTGGTGATCACGCCTCCCCCGTGGCCTTGCCTTTGTCTAAAAAGCCAACAAGAAGTTCTCCTGTGAATGTCCTTCATGAATAGAGTTGTTTTCTTAGAAGAAAACTATATAATAGCTTGAATGACCAAAAAGGAGGAGCTTCTGTCTGTAGACAGTACCCGCTTAGTGTGCCCTGGTAGAAATCCACGCAGGCTCCATCCGATGCTGCACAAATACAAGGTTCCCAGCATCTGAAGGGATGTTAATATTTACTTGCTCTCTACATTGCTCCTCTTATTCTTATTAAAACAGCTATTTCATTACGCCATTTGCTGTCAGGCTTTGAGATCCAGAAAGAACCTTGCATCATTTCTCTCTCACACCTCACTCCCCTCCCCACTGCAGACCAGGTACTACCTGGATGGTTTCTGGGTGTGAAAAAATATGCACATTATGTATTTCATACTTAGACAAATGGTTATAAAAGGCCTGGGAAAAGATTTTCACATACAGAATCACGCCATTTTATAATTTTTGGCCAAATAAATCACAGGAGAAAGCAAATGTTTAACGTCCTTTGCATGTGGAAATTCTCATTTCTATGCACTAGACCTCTACACTGGACCCTACAATCCACTGTTGTTAAAATCTAACTGCGTAACTAGCATTGTTAGAAAAAGAACAAAGACTTAATGAAATGGTCACTCTCTCCCTGTACTACATTGCAATGAAATACTCTATGAAAGCTATCCAGAGGCACCTGAGGACAGGCTGCATGGACAGTTCACTGAAGACTTCAAAAATTTTCTTGTATCTGCCTTCAGATAACTGTTTTCCTCTTCACTCAGAACTATAACTACTGATACTGCTTATATTTCACTTACAACCAAAGTACACTAAAATCTATGTAAACAGAGAAATATGTTGGCTATATATAGACAGCACAGTTTTAAGGCATCTGATATAGATTAATTAAGGTAGGATGGCATGAATATCTCTCTCCCATTTCACAGTTTAACCTCTAGCTGGAGAAAATCATTACCAGTTGCAAGATGTTGGCAGAATACTACCACAGGATTTGCTACCAAATGAAATAACATGGAGACAGAAAGCATTTCATTAAGTGATGTAAGAAGGTATTTTGAGGAAAACAAGGTGATAATTTTGGAACTGTGCGTGCATCAAAGACGATTTCTCAAAAAAATAGCAGTAGTACAATCACCTCTGGCTTACAAAATTAAAATTCTCTATCTGATACCTCTGACGAATTTTTAGCTGGTGTTATTCATAAAAACAGAACTGTACTGTAGCAGTAACCAGCACGAGTTTAAGATTTGCTCTGACACAGCGAAAGAAACTAGCAACAGTGTAAGCAGGTCATAATTTTAATCAACAGATGAAAGATGATGTGACAGGAAGCAGAAAACATCGCATATAAATAAAAATATATCCATACATTATATACATAGACAATATGAAATCCAACAAGCTTAATTCTTTAACTGCCTGTTTTCCCCAATATAATCTCTATCTTTTCTTACTGTAACTAATTAATTAATAAAATAAACAAAATTGGAAGTTACATTTTGTAATTTCTAGCAGATACACAGAGGATGTTCCACAGCCTAATGTCTTTAGAACGAATCTGTCATTTTGCCAATTCTTACCTTAGCAATTTTTGATGTTACCATCACTCTTTCTTGCTTGACAGGTTTACTTTGTTGCACCACTTGACATATATCCTTCGACTTCTGTATCATTAAAAATTCATGCTTCCTCTACAACAAAATGTAACAATGAATTAAAATTCACCTGATACCTCTAAAGGAAGCAGGTACATGTAAAAACAAACCTTACTTGTAGATTCTCTAAACGAGCTTGTACTTTTCTTGCTTGACCTTCCAACTTCTTGTTCAGCTCAGTTACATCACTTAACTGAAAGAATCAGAAAATATTACAGTATTTGTAAATTCAAAACTCACTTCTTGACTTAATTATCACACTGAAATAATTTTATGTGGTTGCTGAGCAGCTAAAATATTTATTTTAAAGTTTTTTCTTCTGAGTATGTAAAGTGATAGAAACAAAATCATCATCCACCTCCTCAACAAATCACAGAATGGCTGAGGTTGGCAGGCACCTCTGGAGGTCATCTGGTCCAACCCCCCAGCTCAAGCAGAGCCACCTAGAGCTGGTTGCCCAGGACCACGTCCAGACGGCTTTTGAATATCTTCATGGTGGGACACTCCAACACCTCTCTGGGCAACTTGTTCCAGGATAAATAAGACAGCTGAAGCTCTTTGTTGACCTGCAGCCCAAACTTTCAGTTTGCAGGGGAAGAATAAATACTGCAATGCTTCTCTAGATATACGGGCACTACACATTTGATTACTTTTCATGAAGACGTGACATAAACATGGAGTGCACATTTCAAGAATACTCCAATAGTCTCGGTTAGCGGGGAGGATGAAAGTTTTCTTCTCTGCAGAATCAGTTACTGACCATGCTACAAAAACCATTTGCTCTGTGAGAAAAGATGAGGGAAACTGTAACTTCCATTTAAATATAAGAAACATGCTCTACGCATACAACAATGAACAGCACGATTATCAGGGAAGCCCTCAGTTTGCACAGAAATTCGAAGATTTTCTAGTGAGGTGAAATAAAGAGACAGATGGGTTGCACCATCAACATTCTTAGGTCTGACCTTGTCTAAGAAAAAGAATAAGGCTCTGACGTAGATTTTTATTGTACTCAGACTATCAGAACTGTAATTATTTCAATGAATAAACAATGGTAAAATAGTTTAGATAGCAATTTGTGTGTCATCATTTTAGGTCAGACTTAACAGCCAAGTGAGATGAAAATTCTTACTCTATTACTATGAACAACTGTCTCAATTTAAGAACCGAGAAAATACTGCCTCCATTAACATTTGTAAAAAAACCTGAAAATACTGAGCAAACATGAAGTTAGAAATACACATTCCACTTTTTATTTAATAGAATCAGCACAGCACTTCAGTACAGGGTGGATTCTATTATGTTATAAATTATTTTCTCTCCATCCACTCTCAATTTGCTTCCGAGGATATGGATTTGTCCTTCCTAACAATAAGCTGCTGCTAGTGGGTCAGAGACATAAGTGCAACTTTTTTTTTATACTGTAAAAGATCAAAGAGGCTAAATTTCAAGTACTAGAAAAGGTGAGGAAGGTACTTTCCATTGTCCATACAATTCTTGTCTTACAGAAACAAAAAATCAGCAATTTTGCAAACTTAAGCTGTTCAAATATTTGAAATTGTTGACTGTAACTTGTAAAATTATTGATAACAGGAAATAACTAATTTTACCTGTTTTCTTAAAGAGTCATTCATTTCCTTCAAGGTGTCAAATGATGACTTCAGTCTCCTATTTTCTTTAGTTATTTCTCTCAAGGCTTCTGTCAGCTGTTTAACTTCTGCCTCATGTTGCTATAGATATATTAAATTTAAAAACATGATTTACAAGAGACTATTTTAGAAACAATTCTAAGATAAGTTCCATTTCAGTGTTAGAATAATAGGATAAAATTCGAAGATCGGGTTTGTAATTCTGCATGGCCAAATTTGCATGTTTAACCAGTAGTGAGAAACACAACATACACACTGCATATTAAGAAGAATCTGTAAAGAATATGAGAGCAACGTGCACAGCCAATTGCTCTGACTCTTTCCAGATTCTACCCAAAAAACATGATATCAATATGTACATTTCTTAGACAAGTCAGATATGGAAAAGGTTTGTGAAATAAAACCATGGACAAAGCTTTTATTTACAGCTTATTCTTCCATATAATAACAAAAAAATGTGATTCTGTTTTGCAGCAACTTTTGAGGTTCCAACTAGTTTTTCTGGTGTTGCTCTCCCTGAATCATGCAGAACAAGAAATTCATCCTATCCTTCTTAGATTAGTGCTCTGGTTTACAGCACAAGCATATGAATTTCTAACTACAACCTGCATATCCACTGCCATTCTTCTCATTCCCCTGAATCTTAATTTAATCTCTGGACACCAGTGCATCTGGTGAACCTCAGATTTGATAAAACAACAAAGTTTTATTTTACTGAAAGTATTCCAGCTATATATACTTACTATCTCTCATTTTTCCCCTTCCATGAATTCACTATTCTTCACTCATTCACACACTCATTCTCTATTTTTCCTTTCCAGTCATATCCTCTCTTCCTACATATGCAAATGACAAAAATAAAGCTCAGTAGAAGTTTAAAGGAGGCAAGCCCTGAAGAGATCCTTCTCTATATTTCCGCTTGGAAGCACAGCAACTTCCATTTCAGGTATATGGGAAAACCACCTACAACTCCTTTTTTCTCAACTGCCACTCTTCTTCAGTCAATGGGACCAGAACAGCTGTGGGCAGGACATTCTTGTCTAAAGCACCTGCCCACACTTGGCTAAGACAACATGAAATGACAGATCCCCTTTTCATACCAATACACATGCAGACACTGCCAATGTATAATTAAGTGCACCCTGTCACATCACATGGAATGTTTTACTTCCATTTTCTACATACACAGTTAACAGGTTTATTTGAATTTCAATAGCTGCTCTAGGAAGAATCAGTAGAGAATTTACCTCAGAAGTAAGATGTACCAGTATGATAAGCCATAGGGTTGTAGCTGAGCCACCCGCTTCCATAAGCGAATCGGGCAATGTCATTCATAACATAACCAGCTATACCATTTCACTCCTTCCAGATGTTTGCCTAGTCTGTTCTTAAGTAATGGAAATACTGCAGTCTGACCAATCTACCTGTCCCTATCCTTAACTATTTTTGCTTAGATATAGTTTTTCCTAATGCGTAACCTAATTTTCCCTTACTACTATTACTTCTTCTCCTATCGCAGACATGAAAAAAAAAAAAATATTAGTTTCTTCCTCTTTGTTGCAGTCTTTGATGTAGCTGAAGCTTGGCACACTCACCCTCAATTCATCCCGTATGTTGAACCCATGCGTTTGCTCATCAACCTCTATTTCTGAAGCTGATATTTCTATTCCAGTGCAATACTGTACACTCACACCTTCTGAATAGTATAATGGCTTTTTTCAGACCTACCATATCTTCAATTTGTCTAGATCAATTTTAATCCTAATGTTCTTTTTCAGTATACTTGAAATTCCCCCTCACTTGCTATTTTCTTCAAATTTAATAAATGTGCTCTTTCTCACCATCAAACTTCTTATTGAAAATACTGATACCAGACTGAACAGGTATTCCAGAAACCACTATATACATTCCTTCAACTTTACAGTAAACTACTGTCTCACTACACCTTCACACCAACTGCATTATATCTATGTTATACTTTCCTAATACGATTATGAAAATGGCATGCAAACCTCTATTAAAAAAATTCTAACTAAGTCCAGATATGTATATAAATACTAATTCTCTTTTAGCAATGCTCGCTATCGTACTGTAGTGGAAATGAGACTGATTTGACAATTTATGATTAACATATGCTAGTAGTTATTTATTGCATTGTTTTCTGCATTGATCTTCCCATGATAAGTTCATAGCTTGCTTCAGGATTTACTTCTTTATTTATTTTGAGAACTGGCATTAAGTTGATGGCTGTACACCTTTTTCCCTTTTCAAAAGAAAGGCACCATGTTTTTTTTAGTCTTCTAATACTCCATTTGACCTCCACAAATTTTCACAAAAACCCCACTAATTTTTCCTGGGTTTTCATCAGCCAGTTCTCTAACCGGTGTAACATTCTTAAAGCCCAGAATATTTGAAACGCTTAAATTAACACCTTAACCTATTCCTTCCCTGTTCAAAAGTTGAGGTCCCATTCCTCTGACACCCTTTGCCTCTTTTTAACAGGTAGTCTATCCTCCCTCAACAGCTTGTAGGAAAGGTTTATCTACACACTTCAAAGAAATTTAATTTCTCAGCTTATGTTTTTGACACTAAGTACATACATTTAAGGACTTCTCTAGGTGATCTTCTGGATAATAAGCAAAACTTTCCACAAGACCTAAATTCAACAGTAAACACCCACAAGAACAGCGCTGCTGAACACATTTTTCTATTGTTGAAATCATACCATTTCATTTCCTCCCATATCCCCAAAGTCAGGTTGATTTTTTCTTTCTTTGAACTTTCTGACTGTTTTTTGCTAATATTTGCAATAGTTGCAAATAGTTGTTATGTCATAAGACCTCACTGTGTCTTAAAGCCTTCCCAAGGAAATCTACTTCAACTAAAGCTAATGAAAAGATACTCATTTAGGTTACATACAATTACAGATAGACCACAATTGTTTCTCTAATTTCTAAAATAGCAAAAACTGTATGATCAGTATAAGTTACCTTTTCTAAATTGTAACAGTAAAATGTACCTACACATCAGACAACTAAATGCACCATTCTGAAACAGAAGCCATACAAAAACCCTATTGATACTGTTTCTTACTTTTTATGTAAACCTTTCATTTGGGGACTTCAAGCACATTAAAAGAAATAAGCATTATGTCTAGCAAACATGTGATGAATTAAGATAACTACAACCAAGTTAAACAGCATGTAGACCAATAAACATCATTAAGTATCTTACCATACCTCTTTCATAATTCCAAATTTTGTGTGAACTTCTTCCTCAACACCTCTTATTTTAGCCAAAGCTGCTTCATGTCTAAAAACCAATGCTTCTCGCTCTGTTAGAAAATGCTCTCGTTTCTGGAGTTGCAAAGCATACTCCTGTTGTGCTGAACTTTCTCTCTGTATCAAGAAAACAAATGTTGAAACAGATTTAAAATCCATGAAATTATCACAATTTATACTGAATACGTATTTTCCCTCCCAGAGATACGCTGAGCTTTTTGTAAAATTATACAGTTACACAATAGCTTACTAATTAAAAGTATCCTGATGGACATCTGTGTTAGTTTCCCCCCACATGTTTTTGATGTGTATTGGGATGGCTCAGCCTCCCAAAATACAAAATTCAACTCTATGTGGTTGTTGAAGTATAAACTCAGAGAATTAAATTTAGGCTTTTGCTTCCAAAAGTTTTGCATAATGGTATTAACTCTAAGGCAAAGGAGAGTCTGATACAATTGTCTATCCTGAACACTAGATTACTCGTATTGCTTCTTCAGTTAGTGGGAAGCATCCCTGAAAAAGTGGTGAGGAAAACAAGAGATACAAAATTATTTTGGCAAAAGACAGTCCTGGCAGGGAATCTAGCAGAAGCATGGGAGCTATTACAGAATAAAACCATAAAGGAGGTTCTTCTGTTAGCGGCCTGGGCCTGCTAGGGCATGAACTGCTGGGATTCCCCAGCAGCAGCAAAGTAAAGATAAGGCAGAATGGAGAGTTTTCACAGGAGGCCACGAAAGCAAGCACTAGTGAATGCCTGGAGCCAGAGTAGTTTCAGATTCTCTCAGGAGAAGCAATGGTTGCAGGCATTTCCCTCCACGCACACGGCGTGTCACAAGACATACTCCTCTTGGATGTAGCAGCACTGTGTTCAAACTCCCCCAAGCTGAATTTTATCCGATCTACCCCCTACGCAAGTCGAAGCGCCACTACCAAATCAGTGAATTAATCGAGGGGAAGAGGTGGATGATGACAGAGTTTTAGTATATAACTGATTGTGATTAGTGTAAGTAATAGTTTTAGTATATACGTACTTAAGTTTTAGTATATAAGTAATAGTGATTTAGTATATAAGTAATTTTTGAATTCTCTATCAAAAGTGAGAATCTTCATAACATTACTCAACAAAATTTTTAAGGCGATTCCATTTCCTACCTGAAGTTTCTGATGTATGACAAATAATTCATCATAAATTTGACTGATGTGAGGTGGTATTAAGCCTTGACTATAGCACGCTTGAGCATCAGTTCCACTCACAATTTTCCTTATCCAACCACTGGTGATATTTTGGTCACTATTTTCTCGTGTATTTGCAGCCAAATGGGATGGTAAGGTGCTGCCTATGGAAAAGAAAAACCCATTTTACATTAAAAAATTAGTCCTAGATAAAGAATTACATGATTGCTGACCCAAAATATTGAAAACTTATTTTAGGCATGACAGGCATTTCGAGTGACAAGTATGGAGCAAGAGGTATCAAAATTATATAAAGTATTCTCCTGAAGAATTAGGGAGAATTGTTCAAAGCTGTGTTCTATGAATTGTTTGAATCGATCAGTGATCAATAAAGTTTTATCAGCAAAACTATGTCCTCCTCTTCGATACAGAAATCCCATAGATATCTGTATGAAATCTATGCACAGACTGAATCATAATGTAGCCAAAATCTCTTATTATTTTTGTAAGGGCTTTAGGTAAGTGATTCGCTGCTGACTAGATCTTGGCCTGACACTTAAGTTAAAAGAACAAGACTTAAACTATTGGACACAACATGAGAAACCGCTAGACATGACAGATGACAGTGTAAGAAGCTGAAGAAAGTTGCAGACAGCATAGTAAGGAATGGCTGGATTTCACAAATAGTCAAATGGCCAAAATTCATAGATAATTGAAGGGAAGTACTGGGATCTTTTGGGGAAGAGACCTCTTGCAAGGCCAACAGCACCAAGGTACCACATCACACCAAGATTACCTAAGTGACAGTATCGAAAATATAAGTTCGGGTACTGTGCTGGTTTTGGTTGGGACAGTTAATTTTCTTCATTGTAACCGGTGTGGTGCTATGTTTTGAATTTGTGACAAAACAGTGTTGATAACACAGGGATGTTTTTAGCTGTTGCTGAGCAGTGCTTGCACAGCATCAAGGCTTTTTCTATTTCTCTTGCCACCCTGCCAGTAAGTAGGCTGAGGGTGCACATGAAGCTGGGATGGGACACAGTGGGGACAGCTGACCCCAGCTGATCAAACGGATATCCCAGACCAGCAACAAAAACCGGGGGAAGGAGGAGGAGCAGGGGACTTTCAGAGTTGTGGCATTTGTTTTCTCAATTAACCGTTACATGTGATGGAGCCCTGTTTTCCTGGAGATGGCTGAACACCTGCCGGGCGATGGGAAGCAGAGAATGAATTCCTTATTTTGCTTTGCTTGCACATGCAGCTTTTGCTTTACCTATTGAAGTGTCTTTATCTCCATGAGTTTTTATGTCCATGAGTTTTCTCTTTTACCTTTCTGACTCTCTCCCTTCCTACTGCAGGGGTATGGTGAGCAGCTGTGTGGGGCTGAGGTGCCTGTGGGGGTTAAAGCACAACAGGTACAGCTGTAGCAAAACTCAGGCCAATGAGGAAAAAGTAATTAGGGATAAGCTGTTTATTTGGCAGGCAACTGGGGAAGAGAAAAGAAGGATAATGAGAAGAAGCATCAAGAAACAGAAAAAGGTTACTAGATAAGCAAATGATGTAATCAGGGCTAACTGGTGGTATGCATCAGGCAGCCTTGTGGTTGATCACCCATCACAGCTGGAGCAGGACAATAAACCAAACCTGCTGTTCTGCTGCAGTGTGTGTGCTTCAGGGGTGAGGAAGGAGAGCATAACTAGTACAATGCCACATTAATCATAACAGAAAAAAAAAAAACAAACAGAAAAAAGTCGTTACATCTGAAACAAGTGTTTGTGTTATTTATCAGTCTTTTCCATTTACTTTGCCTTCGATCCCAAATACTGTAAACTATGCATTTTTCCTGGTGCAATTCTTTTTTTTTTTTTTTCTTTTTAGAAAGAATGTATTTTCAGAAAGCTGTTCTCTCTCTCTCTAAAAACTCTCCCCACCCATTTAATACAACTCTTGGTGACAGACATTGATCTGTTCTGCCTGGCTTCTGAGATTCCTTTTAGCTTCTTCCTGGGTGGGTTGGCTGTCTGTCTGTCTCCACACTTCCAGATACACTTTCAAAAGAATTCATCAATGTTCTTCTAAACCTAAAACTCTCCACAAAAGACAGAGCTACACTAATTCACAAATTCCTCCAATTGCGGCAGCATTTTCAGACATTTGCAGCGAATTAATGCCATCTGGTTCCTGCTGCAGTCTTGCAGTTAGAATTGCCTGAGTTAAATGAACAGTAGATAACACTCTTTCTCATTGCCAGTTTTCAGTTCTTAAACTGACAAGACATCTGACTTAACAGAGTTGTAGTATTTGTTACTGCAGCTAGTTACTTAAAACAAAACAAACAAAAACACCAAAACCCACCCTGTTTCTTCATTCATATTATAAAGTCACCTGTCAACCAGTTTCATAAAAGGTTGATTTTTCTTTTTAAAATGTTTGTTAGTATTGCATCAAGTATGTCTGGACATCCTCAACTAATTCTAAAGGAGTTATTCATACTTACACGAAAGGTTAAATCCCCAAATTGAAATACATTTTAACTGATTATTGTATTTCTGAACTAAACAGAAATACATTTACTAGAAAGTTTTTTAAATTACATGTTATATTTCACATAGAGTCATAAAAATATTTAAAAATCAATATTTATTACCTGTTTCCATACATATAGCTGTATTTTGAACTGCATCTGATTCAGAGCAACTAATGGTATTTTCTTCTATTTCTGGACCACTTGAAGCATAAAAAGAATCTTGCTCATCATCAAAACTAAAAAATACAAAAAAGCAATAAGTTGAAATTACTCAGTCCCTTTCTCACATACTACATTTAGAGAACTGTGAGAAGTTTGTATAAAAATGTAAACATTGCTCAATTTAAGATTTTGATATTTGACTGCTAACAAATAGCAGAGTTAAATCATTTGGATGGAAGGCATTATTACTCATAAGATTTTAACTACAACAATTAGTAATGTTGCTGACTTAAAAGTGGTAACAATAACTAAAATTTTCATGCTGTAAGCACATGTATGCAACAGGTAAAACCAATACTCTTCTCTCACCACCAACCACCAAATTCCAGGAAAGCCAAAAATACAGCCCCACTTTTTTCATTATTTTTTCACATTTGGTGTAAAGTAGCCCTGAAAAGAGATTTATTGGCTTTTGGAATCAAATTATCTCTAAATAAACTTAAAGCTTTTTGGCAGTCTAAGCTATTTGTTTTCCTCCTAGTTCAGTTTATATCATCCCTGTACTCAGTTTATATCAACCCTATATCCCATTAGCAATTCCAACATAGATTAAATTAGATTAGAAAGTGAGCGAGACAATAGTCCTCATCAAAACGACCATCCACATTATTTCATACATCAGCCACAAACAGTTCTTTTCTTAACAAGAATCTTAAAACAACTTTTGGATCTGTGCAGTCTGAATGTGTTGTTTACTCGTGGTTTATCTGGATGATGAGAGACAATGAATGATAAAGGAGAGCTGAAGAGAAAACACCTCTTACCAATCCCAGTCTTTAAAACTTTGTAGCAAATCACTAGAGGATCTGATGCTGTTGTCTCTTCTACCATCAGTAAATTCTGACTCTAAAGAACATTTGGATAAAGAAATAGTTGTATTTTCCAATGAGCTGTCCACATCACCTGGAATATATAAAATAATATTTTTATTTTGTATTTGAGAAGCTGACATTAAGAAATCAACAAGGGCTTATTAGAAATGTTTGCCATGTAATCATGTAGGTTTATGAACCAAAAAAGCCACTGATGCAGCCTGACAAGTGAATGAAGATGTTATAATAGCTTAAACGATAGGAAGAATTATTTAGTTTTCAAACCAGATTTGTCTTTCTTAAGTTTTACAGCTTGCCTTCATACACTAATTTTTCTATAACCAAAGTCTGATAATACATTGTTTTACCCTGCTGTCTGCATGCGCCAGCAACATGTGTTTCTCAAGAAGCCCAAAGACATTCTAAATATTAAATGTATAGGCATCTTCAAATTAAAGCCAAATGTACGTGTTATGCGGTGGGCTGCTACCAACTACTTGAAGCAGGACTTAAACACAAACAGATGGGGAACCACTGTTCTAAAGCATCCTTTGTGTTCTTGATGCGAATGTTAACATTCCTAGGGTGGCTCCCAGATATCACAAACCCTTGATCAAGAACATACACCTGTTTAAAATAAGAAAATACAAAACTACTTAAAATAAATTTAGGAATGATACAGTTTTACGGTGTATTTTCCATGAAAAAGACATCAAAGCACCATTGTTTGGTATTACCTTTGTATATTAGGGAGCTTCCGCTCTCACATTCAGTATGTAATGCTCCTGAAAGGCAATCCTACAAGAAAGTGCAAAACCACTGTAATACAGTCAGAATTTTCAGCAAAAGTGTATGTTACAGCCTACTTGTTTAAAAGTGCCGACACCTTGTGGCAGAGCTCTTACTACAAACTACTGACTTTGAAAAGGGAAGTTGTTTTTTTCCAATATATAAATATAAATGGCCCTCATATTAATATAAACAGGCAAACATATTCACCACAGTCTCATAATGAAATATTCAGCGTTATACGTTAAAATATTTGAGAGACTACAAGACACTATGAAGACAGCGACATAAAATAAGGGCACAAAAGTAGGATTAGGTAATCACGGAAAGAGCGCCACCGATCTTTATATCTAGGCTTTTTATGTCAAAGTTCCCTGCTCTACTTTTTTCTCGTAACTTGCAACGACGTGCTAAAAAACGAATGACAGAAGTATTAAGCTACAAGCAAAATCAAATAAATGCACATTGGAAAAGATCAGACTCAAAGCAGCTCTCATGATCTTAGCTGTGTTACACTGCATCTCTGCTATCCGCTAAATGAAGTAATTGATCGCTGTATTTTCTTACACTTAAATACTGCTTCTCAATGAAATAACAAAAAGCACAAACAAATCTAGCGTTTCCTTCCTTGCAAGCATTACACTTCAAAGTCTCAGTGACAGTTTTTTAAAGACAACTTCTGAAAATTATTCAAAGCAGAACATTCCCCAAGGAAAACACAGCATCTCCAGCACCACAAAATGCTGAGTTGCAAGTCCTTCTGGAAGAAATACGGGCAGATACAACCAGATTTTAGCTGCTAAAGAACTGAAATCTTCACCTCATATTTGGGACAGTTCTTGACCCTAAACCGACAAGTCACACCTCCTCAGAAAAAAAAAAAAAAAAAGAAAAAAAAAGATTGGTTTCTGTATTCATTTGATGATTCCCAGCACCAGCTTGATCTCCCAATACAATTACATGTCTAGCCCAAATCCAGCTTTCGATCTCTCCCAATCTTTGGCTGCTCACAAGAATTTTTCCAACGTATTACTTCCCTTGCAGCATGAGTTTGAACAGTTAAGGTCTGTTATGCCCTGGGCACACAGGCACACTGCAAGAAAGGAACTGCAAAAATCTGTCTTGGTGAAAGACAAACAGACTTCAAGCAAAATAAAAGTAATCACAATCCAGTTCCACCATTCATATCAGTGCAAGAAACCTGGCACTCCCTGGTGCAAAACAGCGTTGCTTTACCTAGGCAAAGTAATGACACCCATCATAATTTACTGTCTGGTCATTGTGGCACTCTTACGAACTGTGGCTTTGAGTCTCCTCTGGTTGACTAGATACGGAACGATTTCCTCCTCCCTGAAAACAGAGCTAATCACCAGGCTTTACAAAAACCCACAATCGCTCCTAACACCTTCTAAACAAGGCTAGCGATTGCTGTAACAAAAGAAGATATGAAAGAAATGAGTCACCCTACTATATATATTTTATAGATGCCCAGTATACTGCTTTTAAGAGGATTCACGTATCTTGCCCAACTGACAGGCACCAGAAGGCTTCAGACAAAAACTAAGTGCCAAGCTGCTCAGGCTGCGTTTTGGGAATGCATCAAACGTGGAATTGCAATTTCCAGGGAAACTTCCAGTTCCGACAAGGATGGCTCTTCAGCACTTCCCCTGTAACACAGTCAGAGCAGAGGGACAGGGGCAAGACTAGAAAGAACACGCTCTACACGTAAGCTCCTAAACCCAGTTTAAAACCTATTTTTGGCTCTCGGACTGTACGCGTGTGTAATACCACAGTGTTTACAACGAGCCCCAAGGGAGGGGGACAGAAACCCCCTTCCCAGCACCTCAGGGACCGGGCGAGGAGGCACTGCTTTCCCCTTCCTCCTCCCACGCCGCCCACCTCCCTCACCCTGGCGCGCAGCCCCGCGACCCTCCCGTCTCACC